TCTGGAAGTAGGAGCCAGACTACTGACTCTGGAAGTAGGAGCCAGACCACTGACTCTGGAAGTAGGAGCCAGACTACTGACTCTGGAAGTAGGAGCCAGACTACTGACTCTGGAAGTAGGAGCCAGACTACTGACTCTGGAAGTAGGAGCCAGACTAGTGACTCTGGAAGTAGGAGCCAGACTAGTGACTCTGGAAGTAGGAGCCAGACTAGTGACTCTGGAAGTAGGAGCCAGACTACTGACTCTGGAAGTAGGAGCCAGACTACTGACTCTGGAAGTAGGAGCCAGACTAGTGACTCTGGAAGTAGGAGCCAGACTACTGACTCTGGAAGTAGGAGCCAGACTACTGACTCTGGAAGTAGGAGCCAGACTAGTGACTCTGGAAGTAGGAGCCAGACTACTGACTCTGGAAGTAGGAGCCAGACTACTGACTCTGGAAGTAGGAGCCAGACTACTGACTCTGGAAGTAGGAGCCAGACTAGTGACTCTGGAAGTAGGAGCCAGACTACTGACTCTGGAAGTAGGAGCCAGACTACTGACTCTGGAAGTAGGAGCCAGACTACTGACTCTGGAAGTAGGAGCCAGACTACTGACTGGAAGTAGGAGCCAGACTACTGACTCTGGAAGTAGGAGCCAGACTAGTGACTCTGGAAGTAGGAGCCAGACTACTGACTCTGGAAGTAGGAGCCAGACTACTGACTCTGGAAGTAGGAGCCAGACTACTGACTCTGGAAGTAGGAGCCAGACCACTGACTCTGGAAGTAGGAGCCAGATCACTGACTCTGGAAGTAGGAGCCAGACCACTGACTCTGGAAGTAGGAGCCAGATCACTGACTCTGGAAGTAGGAGCCAGATCACTGACTCTGGAAGTAGGAGCCAGACCACTGACTCTGGAAGTAGGAGCCAGATCACTGACTCTGAAAGTAGGAGCCAGATCACTGACTCTGGAAGTAGGAGCCAGACCACTGACTCTGGAAGTAGGAGCCAGACTACTGACTCTGGAAGTAGGAGCCAGACTACTGACTCTGGAAGTAGGAGCCAGATCACTGACTCTGGAAGTAGGAGCCAGACTACTGACTCTGGAAGTAGGAGCCAGATCACTGACTCTGGAAGTAGGAGCCAGACCACTGACTCTGGAAGTAGGAGCCAGACCACTGACTCTGGAAGTAGGAGCCAGACCACTGACTCTGGAAGTAAGAGCCAGACCACTGACTCTGGAAGTAGGAGCCAGACCACTGACTCTGGAAGTAGGAGCCAGACCACTGACTCTGGAAGTAGGAGCCAGACCAATGACTCTGGAAGTAGGAGTCAGACCACTGACTCTGGAAGTAGGAGCCAGACTACTGACTCTGGAAGTAGGAGCCAGATCAATGACTCTGGAAGTAGGAGCCAGACCACTGACTCTGGAAGTAGGAGCCAGACCGCTGACTCTGGAAGTAGGAGCCAGACCACTGACTCTGGAAATAGGAGCCAGACCACTGACTCTGGAAGTAGGATCCAGACTACTGACTCTGGAAGTAGGAGCCAGACCACTGACTCTGGAAGTAGGAGCCAGACCACTGACTCTGGAAGTAGGAGCCAGACCACTGACTCTGGAAGTAGGAGCCAGACCACTGACTCTGGAAGTAGGAGCCAGACCACTGACTCTGGAAGTAGGAGCCAGACCACTGACTCTGGAAGTAGGAGCCAGACCACTGACTCTGGAAGTAGGAGCCAGACCACTGACTCTGGAGTGTTGCTTCAGAATGGCTGAGGAATATGGCTTGCAGGCCCTCTGGAGGAGACTTTAAATAACACATTACGTGTACATTAATCGCTGGGATATGTACCCTGGGAGGACTATGTCTCTCAGTGTATATACACTTAGAGGTTATTCTAACCCCAGTTTTAGGGATTCGAGTATTCTTGACTGGTGATGAACGGGTGATACGCAGCCTTAATGACCCTCGTGTTGTCGAGAGGCTCTAAACTCCATTAAACAATTAACCATGGGTGGCTAGAAGCCGGTTGATTGTGGTCAAAAAGGCACTTATGGCAAAGAAACTTGTTTTAATGGGAGTTTTCACCCATTTGGGGCTCTCCAAGTACTTGACGAAGCCCCTAGTGGATAAACCCAAAGGGCGAAACGTCATTTTAGTAAGATGTTTCGTTGCTGAAAGTATTATTTTACCACCAAAACTGAACATGCATAGATCGAGACGTACGCCTTATCTGCCGAAGAGGGTCTCTGGCTGAGGCCGAAATATACAGATCTATTTTACCTGTGTTTCAGGTTTAGTTGTCTACGTATTTTTTTTTTCAAGACTAATGACAAACAACCAATCTCGGCTTCCCTGTTGTGATCTAAGTACTTTCAAGTTACTAATCCGACTGACGAAACCGTCGTAACACGAATGAATGGCATGGACCGGTGGATAATACACTGGCCTGCTACTTTTAGGACAGGCTTACCATGGGTTCGAGTCCCACTCGTACTGTGATTAAAGTTAATAGTTGAATGGTTATTCTTACGACCAGCAAAGTTTTCTTGTTAAAATAATAATAATAATAATTTTAAGTCTTCGAGTTACGTAATAGGTAGGGATATTGGAGGTAATTAGGTTTGATCTTACGAAGAGAAGGGGACCTCTGATTTTTTAAATGAAGAACCATTTACCACTATCAACATACCCCTTTCCCTTCCTGCCCTTCGGAAGGGACTACACTTACTGTTCCAAACAAACATCTGAGTGACGAGTCTGCGTGTGTGTGTGTAAATAAAGGGGTGAGGTAAGGTGTTGGTCCACCTTCATTGACGTCACTGCAGGTGTTTATGAAGTCTGGAGGAGGTATACCTCTCAGCTGTAACCTTCCCTTCGCTTTCACTCTCACTCCTTAGACGCTGTGAGACACTTGTCTACATTCCCTTTCACTTTCTCTCCCTGGTCGTTGTGAAGCGCTACTGCGCAGCACTTCTGTTGCTGAAGAAGTCACAGATGCAGATTAATTATGACAACGTAACGTGCTGTACAGAACTACCGTTCAACCTGTAGAGTGTAGATGAATGGTTGTGGGCTTGCCTGTAGTCACAGGCGTGTGGGGATCACTTCTCAAGTGAATATCCCGGTAAAACGATACAAATTATGATTTAAAATCTATGCAGAACTCTACCAAGCTAATGCACATGTGACATTTTCTCTCCATTGCTTTCGGCTTTTGTACCACCTTCTGTTTCATACAGCTTAAAATTTTCTTTCGCTTGCATTCTTACATCTTGACTGGTCAGAGACCAGGCCGCAATTAGCGTACGGAGGATAGAGCCTTTACCAAGCTTTGAACTTAAATCTCCCCACTCAAGTTTAGCGAGAGGAGCTTTAATTAATTTGTGAGTCTGCAATACGAATGTAAATTAACGAATATAAGGGCTCCTATGTTCTTTAGAGTATTTAAACATTGGTAGGGTAACCAGTGTTACCAGGCGACGGGGAAGACACAGGTGACGTACAAGACACACGTGTCAGAGCAGACACAGGTGACGTAAAAGACACAGGTGTCAGGGAAGACAGATGACAGGGAAAACATAGGTGACGGGGAAGACACAGGTACCAGGGAAGACACAGGTGCCAGGGTGTTACGGATTCATGGTGAGGCAGGAGAGAGCAGCTTCAACACTCACCTCATACTGATGATAAGAAAGAAGCTACAGTGTGAAAGTGTCTTAAGAAACTTGATTAATATAACTTTCAAAGATTCTTTCACACAGGAAGTCAGAACGAGAGTCAGGAGAACAAAAGCAGCGACACCTATGCTGCAACAATTCACACTTAACCCACAAACTGGAAACGGAAAGTAGATGACGTTTCGGCACATCCCTGATCATTATCAAGCCGCAAATGAGAAAAGATATGGGAAAAATCAAGAGGTCAGGAAACAGCCTCTGTAAGGCTGAAGGGGTCATTATTCTCGGGGACGATACACAAATAACCTGCATATAAGAGAGAGAGAGGAGCTTATGGCGACATTACGCTCCGACTCGAATTATTTACAAAGTAAGATTCGGAGTATGTATTTTTATTTCGTAAGGCTTAATATACATTTTTTAATAATTTAACACCTATATAAGTGCTAAAGCCATGTGGGTTATTCATCACAAGACTTAGTAGAGGCTTGATCCTCCGTCTGCTGAGCGCCAGGCGGACGTGCTTCCTATTTGTTCTCGCCTAGATGTATGGAAGGTGTAAGAGACAGGGGACCCAATTTAGATGCAGCTTTGAGGCCCATTCCCTAAGTACGTCATCTGACTATTACAATATCTCGATAATTAATGCTACTACCTTGGTAAACAAACTTAATTTTAATGAAAAAGTAATGCATAAGATTAATCACAGGAGAGACAGGAAGATCAGCAACGCTGGACTCACTTCGCCAGTTCCTAAGAAAAGAAAGTTTAGAAGAGTCTAGCTGTGTCAAAAAGAAGAGGCGGCTATAAAGCAGTAAGAAATAAAGGAGAATATGATGACTGGAAGAGATTGTGAGATAATTTGAACAAGAGAAGAGACTAATTGTTGGAAGACTAAAGATGAGAGTACTACCAGACGCAAAGACCCAGGTTTACAGAACCAGCGAAGACCAAGATTTACAGAACCAGCGAAGAACCAGCTTTACAGAAGTTTGTATACCGGGTTCATCAGTTCTGGATTTTAGAATACTTGGATGTATTAGAATATTATGAGACCTCTTGTTATTGAGTGGCTTTAGTCGTAACTGCTGGGGGATTGTAGCTCGTGTCACGAATAATTTTTTGTTGTTATTTTTTACATCGTGGATAGAAAAAGAAAAAAGAAAAAATGAGCGTTGCAGTTGTTACTGGGTCAAACTAGGTAAGTCAGACTCGTATATTCAATACTCTACAAATTTGTTTTCCAACTTTGCTATATTCCTTCTAAATCGGATTCTTTTTTCCCAAATTAAACCCAGTGTTTTTTTTCTTTTACTGATATTATTGTATATTCTCTCCCCAGGTCTGAGGAGTCGGGAACAACTGAGCCAGTCGAATACTGCTGCTGTTGCTGCTTGGAACAGTAGCTTCTAGTAGCACCAGACTCCGTGTCATCATGGGTTATTGTCTAAAGAAGTTGGAACACTTCCTCAGGCGGTCGTTTTACCGGCTGGGGTACACAGTGGCTGAACACTACGGCTACTTTATCATGATACCTCTTTTCCTGACTGCTTTACTAGCTACGGGATTTCAGAGAATCAAATACGAAGATGACCCAGAATACCTGTTCTCTCCTCGGTCAGGTTTTGCTAAGAGGGAGCGAGCCATCATAGAGGAGAACTTCTCTCTTAACTTCAGTTCGAACTTTAGTCCGTCAAGGATAACACGACTGGGACGCTTCGCCAGATTACTGATCATGGCCAAGGACGAAGGGAATCTCCTGCGCTCAGCGATTTGGAACGACATCGTATCAGTAGATCGCTTGGTGCATTCCGTCAGCGTGAATCTTGAGGACAGGGTGGCCCGTTACGATGACCTCTGCGCCATCTGGGACAGCAAGTGCTACGAAAACAACATCTTAGGTCTGCAAGATTTTATGAAGGAAATTGAAAAGGGCAATTTCAGTCTGAGTTATCCCTTCATGCTCAACCCTGAAACATTTGAAACAATTGTATTTCCGCTCTTCTTCGGAGGCGTCAAGGTTGACAACAACACTAACATTGTGAGTGTCAAGGCACTCTCCTTGTTTTATTGGCTTAAGACTAACGATGCCAAGGAAACCGCAGAGTAAGTTCCACCTTTAATTACCTGTCTTTCTCCTTATACTCGTTCTCTTCATATTCTTTCCCTTCTTTGTTTTCTTCCTCTTCATCGTTTTCTCCTTTCTACTCTTCTTTCGTTTCCACTTCCTGCTCTTCTTTCTCCTCTTCTTTTCCTCCTTCTGTTTATACAGCTGCGCCGACTGTACATTTCTCTCGTCCAACGGATGCAACCAGTTATAACACAAATCAGGAACTTTTAGCTGTGTTAACTATTGGGTATGAGATAAATTTTTGAGCAATTTTGGGCATCAGATGTAGTCATCCATTAGTGAAAAATAGAGGCAGCAAAAGTAGGCCTATTATCTCAAGAGGACTGAGGCTGATATGTTTTTTCTCAATCGTGGTACGACTTCAACTGGTGTCTCTTCCAAATTTGTTTTTTTGGTAATGTCCTCATCTAATGAATCATATAAACAAAGAAGCATCCCAGTATCACTGTATTCCAGTATCACTATCCCAGTATCACTGTATCCCAGTATCACTGTATCCCAGTATCACTATCCCAATATCACTGTATCTCAGTATCACTGTATTCTAGTATAACTATCCCTGTATAATTGTAACAGCGATTATTTATAATCTATAATATGCATTATAAACAGCGATGTAGTGTTTGTAAGTGATATAAGGAACAATGAAGTACGAGGACACGTGTTGGGGCGCAAGATGAAGGTACAGTGTAGTGTAACACTTGTATCTCTATCACCAGAGGAGCACTGTGGGAGGATGCCTTACTAAAAGCATTGGAGAATCGGGACTTCGGCAACATTACAGTGGCAAGGTTCATATCCCGCACACTGGAGTTAGAGCTGGAGAACAACACGATTTCAGTATCTCCGTTCTTCGGTCTGACGGTGTTTACGATGATAGTGTTCAGCGTGGGCTCCGCTCTGTCTGGTGACTGGGTGCGGACGAAGCCGTGGCTGGGGGTCCTTGGGGTCCTCTCTGTCTCACTCTCCTGTGTCGCAGCCTTCGGCTTTCTTGTTTACATTGGTCTCGATTTCATCGGCATTAACATGGCAGCCCCCTTTCTTTTGTTAGGTGAGTACTAAAGCCAGTGTTTTTCCGATTATTAGTTTGCCTTTATCTATTTGTTATCTGTGAACCTGGTAGAAAACAAGTTTACTAATATTCACATGTACGTAAGATCAGCCTTTGCTACTGATACCTTCCCACACATGAATCAGCTAGAATGACGACTCTCATAAAGAACTGTACATCCTTCTTTAAGGCTTTATAAATTCAAGAGTACTAAACACGGCTTTTAGCACTCTTGAATTTTATACCGGCTTTAGGATAACCTGTATAAACTAACGGCCATACACCTGAGACATATGCTCTCCTCAGTTCTTATGGGTTTGTTGATAAGTAAAGGTTGTTTACCTAGGTATCGGCATGGACGACGTGTTTGTGATGCTGTCAGCGTGGCGGCGCACCAAGCTGCAAGACACAGTGCAGGAGAGGATGGGTCATGCCTTCGCTGATGCTGCCGTCGGTATCACCATTACATCCGTCACAGACGTCATCTCCTTCTTCATCGGAGCTATCACTCCCTTTCCTTCCGTCCAGATCTTCTCCCTGTATACCGGTAGGTGAAATATTTGTTTGCAAGACTCTTTCTGATTACTTTTTTCTTTACGTTTTTAGAGAAAAATATTTTAGTTATCCCTGGATTTGACAAAATTATTAGGTATCACAGAAAGGGGTATTATTATTATTATTATTATTATTATTATTATTATTATTATTATTATTATTATTATTATTATTATTATTATTATTATTATTGTTGTTGTTATTATTATCAAAGCTAGCGCTAAAACCGAAAGGGGTAACTTGAAGCGGTTGTCTTATTTTTTTCGTCTCTCGTATATATGTCAACAAAACTGTACACACGGTTCAAAGAATGACAATATCGCCTGTTGTTGACTCTCAATCTGTTGTTACCAAGACAGATGCCGTTATTAGATCGATATTGAGGTTTTATTTGAAGCAGTGTATCTAACAGTGCAAGAAAAAAATCAATGTTTTTCACTAATTTTGATTACAAATGTAAATTTTTGTTTGTCCTTAAGCAAATAAATTATCATCTTTGAATCTGTTGACTTACTGTGTAAAATCTGATCCTCTATAAAACTTCTGTAAAATTATTACTCTGAAATAGCTGGTTTCTTTAATAGGCTGCACGTTTTCCTGTCCTTCCATCCCCTAGAAAATAAAACTGTTTCTGTGGGCGCCTCTGCTAGTCCTGTACTGCGTGTAAGTGAATTAATATAAGCCGACAGGAAAGAAATCTTTCACTAATGCGACGTTTTCTAGTGTGCAAAGCATCGTATTAAGAGATACTTTTATTTCTTCATCTGCATTAAGAACCTTTATAGCGAGGTGGCCGTATTGACAGGGATGGCGGTGGTTGTGGCTTACTTCTGGCACATCACGTTCTTCGGTGGCTGTCTGGCTTTCTCTGGCTTCATGGAGAAGGAGCAGCGCCATGGCCTCGTGTGTCTCAAGATCAAACCTAAGTCAGAAGCAGGTCAGTACTGTACTGTATGTTCCTTCATAACTTGCCTTGAAGAAGTCACGATATAAATACCGTAAGTTGTATGTCTCTTAGTGTATATACAACGAATATTTTAATCCCTAATTTAGTGATGAAAATATTCTTGTCTGATCATTACACTATAATTTGTTCATGATTGTAGCCATGTATAAACGTAAGTAACCATTCTTATAGAATTCATTACCTTTGTAATTTGTGAGCTCATTGCCTTTGTACCTAGTTCAGCTATCAAAACTTTGGGGGCCCAGTCCCTGGACCCATTACGTACCTCTGTAATCTGTAAATACCTTTGTAACTTGTCATGATTGTGACCAGACCTACCTGGAGTTCATTACCTTTGTATATTGTGAGTTCATTACCTTTGTAAATTGTGAGTTCATTACCTCTGTAACTTGCTCAGCTATCAAAACTTTGGAGTCCAGTCTTTTTTAGTTTTTTTAGTTTAATATGTTTATTATGCACCCCATACCCATCCTGTGGGCGGTAGTCAAAAGATTACAGAGGTACATAATTGGTCCAGGGACTGGGCCTCAAAGTTTTGATAGCTGAGCAAGTTACAGAGGTAATGAATTCACAATTTAAAAAGGTAATGAACTCACAATTTACAAAGGTAATGAACTCCAGGTAGGTCTAGTCACAATCATGACAAGTTACAAAGGTATTTACAGATTACAGAGGTACACAATGGGTCCAGGGACCGGGCTCCAAAGTTTTGATGGCTGAACTAGGTACAAGGTAATGGTCCCTGTACCAATTATGTACCTCTGTACTCTTTTGACTACCGCCCACAAGATGGGTATGGGGTGTATAATAAACATATTAAACTAACTGATGGTAAACAGATGACACGCAGTTGATAACCAGCCCTTCAAGGAGGCTGGTTATCAACTGCGTGAGGTGCTGTTGAACCAAGGGAATGGAGCTACGCTCCCCTTCCTTATATCACAACTAATTATCTCCCATTACCCAGCAACAACTTAACTTTCGTGGCTGGGTTCATGAATGACGTATGCGGGAACTACATATAATAGGTGAATCTTGAGTTCCTCATGTGAAATAGGTTTCAGGCTATCTTAGTGTGAGACTCTTGTTTTCGTTGCAACTGTGCTGCTGATGAAGGTAAGGTGTGTGCTAGCATCATAACTAATGTAAATGAACTACTAGCAATCATCCATTAATATTTATAAGATAACGGTTAAATAACCGGACTACTGACAGTATATCCTCTGTAAGCTTAGTGCTTCCCAATCTATCTATCAATATATATATATATATATATATATATATATATATATATATATATATTATATATATATATATATATATATATATATATATCCTAGGTAGTAGGTTGGTAGACAGCAACCGCCCAGGGAGGTACTACCGTCCTGCCAAGTGAGTGTAAAACGGAAACCTGTAATGTTTTACATGATGGTAGGATTGCTGGTGTCCATTTTTCTGTCTCATAAACATGCAAGATTTCAGGTATGTCTTGCTACTTCTACTTACACTTAGGTCACACTACACATACATGTACAAGCATATATGTATATACACACCCCTCTGAGTTTTCTTCCATTTTTCTTACTAGTTCTTGTTCTTGTTTATTTCCTCTTACCTCCATGGGGAAGTGGAACAGAATTCTTCCTCCGTAAGCCATGCGTGTTGTAAGAGGCGACTAAAATGCTGGGAGCAAGGGGCTAGTAACCTCTTCTCCTGTATATATTACTAAATGTAAAAGGAGAAACTTTCGTTTTTCCTTTTGGGCCACCCCACCTCGGTGGGATACTGCCGGTGTGTTGAAGTTGAAATATATATATATATATATATATATATATATATATATATTATATATATATATATATATATATATATATATATATATATATATATATATATATATATATATATATATATATATATATGTATGTATATATATATATATATATATATATATATATATATATATATATATATATATATATATATATATATATATATATATATATATATATATATATGTATATATGCATGTATGTATGATAAATATCAGAGTGTGGCGGACACTTGTCAATCTGTTAAGATCCCCTCATGTAGACAGGAATATAATGCAAGACAGAGACTGTATACTTCAGTTTCTGTCTGAGATCTTATGAAACAATACAGAGAATAAAAATATAAACTGGATATATATGTTGATTAAGTCAACGGATCACCTGTGTGTTAATGGAAGAGGGCCGCTAAATCTAGTCAAACAAGAAGCCAGGTAGTTGAGAACTGAGTTCAGCAGGTTATTTGCACTTCTGGGAAGTGGATGAAATTACGAGATGACAGTCCATGGTCGGCTCTAAGTAATCTGAAGCAGGAATGAATTTCTCCACTGCGAATTTTGAAATCACATCAGGAATCCATTTCCCTTCAGATGTATTAAAATATATTTCCATATCCATTTGGGTACCTTCGATTGCATTAATATAGTCGGTGGCCTTTATTTCGTATAATATTTTGGCTGTGTCGTAATCACTTTTGCACTGATAAATTTCTAAGATACTGGAAGAAAGCAGATTTCTCCTGGCAGTATTTCACGACTCTTTTGTGTTCCACAATCCTGGTTTATAAGTGACGCCAGGTCTTCCCTATATAGATAAGGTTAATGATGCAGGAGCAAACTTACGCCCTTAACCATAACTGATCCGTACATGTATTGTGTTAGAGGGTTTTTCACCAGAGACTAAAACAATCTTGGCAACAAATATGATAGACACTAAATTTTTAACCAATTGTTTGTTCCTCCTGTTTTTTGATAAATAACTGTCCATTTTATTGGGATGTGAGAAAATTACATTAATTAAAGGTTTTCTGCTTTCTAATTATTATAATTAAAAAGAAGCGCTAAACCTACAAGAGAACTCTGTTTTCTAATGAAGTACTGTGAAGCGGATGATTGATTTATCTCTGATGCTTTCTTTGAGGACTGGTGAATACCTTTATAAAAGTTGTGTTCAGCTGTCTATAAAGTTTGAATAAAGCAGTGAGGATATCCAAGCTTTCTGACCTATTGTTGTGTTGTGGAAATTTCTTGATCTAACATGTTAAGTTCTTAGGAACAGACTGCACAGCATGCTTTTATTGATGTGTTTGGATATAATTTGGTGTATGGGTGAAGTTCCCACACACACGATGAAAGTAAGCTGCAGAATAATCTTCTGATGGGGTGAGCATTTCGTCCTGTGTAGAGCTTCAAATCATACTTGGAATAACATGATAAGGCTCTACACAGAGCGACTCGTCGCCTCACCATTAACCCGCTCTGCAACAAGTCTTTTCTTCACATAAACTTTTCTTACTGATATTTCCAGTTTCGATGCGATAGCTAAAATTTTTGTGCCCTTCACATACAGTGGACGCCGGCTGCTGCTACCGTGTCCTTTGCACTGGTGGGATAAGTGAGAATGATCCTTGGAATCAGAAGGACAATAAGGATCACATCATCATGGTGTTCTTCAGAGATTACTTCGCCCGCATCCTCAACATCCCGCTTGTTAAAGGTGATCCTTCATCTGCCTCTCTGGCTTGATCTTGTTTCAGGAAATCTAAAGAACGCAAAATGTTCATTGTAATGTGTTGCAGATCAGTTATGTTTGAGAAAACTTAGTTGGTTCACGTATTTATAAGGAAAAAAAGTTTGATAGCAGTTGCTGAAATAATGTAAACATTAGGCAGCTGATGCACACCCTCCCCCACCACACATACAAATTTAACAGATTTTTTCTTACCGCCAGCCATTGTGATTATCGTGTTCATGTTGTACCTGGCTGTTGCCTGCTGGGGCTGTACTACGCTCAACGAAGGTCTGGAGCGCAGGAGACTCTCTCGTGATGATTCTTACTCTGTGTTGTTTTATGAACGCGAAGACAAATATTTCAGGGAATTTCCATATAGAATTCAGGTGAGTAAAACTATATACGCTTAAAATTAGGGGTTCCAAGCATAAAGTCGGGTTTCCAAACTTAAAGATGAGATTTCCAAGCTGATAGCTGGGTTTACTGAGGCTGAATTTCTCCTGTGTCACCACTGCTTAGTAATATTATAATCCTTCAGTTATTGCAGTTATTAGGGTCATACGGAATATATAATCCATTAAGTACCAAAGGTTACAGTAAATTTCTCAGTGTATTTACACACAGAGAGAAGCATCTCTCTGTACATATACATATACACTATGTTCTCAGGGCATATACACCTAGAGATATACACTTCTCAGTCACATTGGTTGGTTCGTAAGTAGGGTGCATAGTCTGTTGATACACCAGGATAATTAAGGCTATGTGTCACATGTTTACCACCAGTCAAGAATGATTATCTAAGACCCCCGTCAGAAGGCATTTATCCTGTTTCCTGACGATTCTTTTTACCCGAAACTAAAGTAATTTATATGTTCTTGTACAGGTGGTTATAACAGGTGACGTGGAATACAGTGATCCTAAGACTCAGGAGGAACTGTTGGTACTGCTTAAAAAGTTTGAGTCTACAAAATACAGTGGAAGTCCAATCTACACGGAGTCGTGGCTCAGAGCTTGGCTTGGTTTTGTGAAAAGAAACCAAGAATTCTTAGGCTTTAATATCACGAGTGAAGAAGACTTCTGCACTCAACTTAAAGAGGTTTGCCATTTTCAGTACAGTGGATGAAGCTAACTGTATTTCTCATTTGATATCTATTTTTTTTGAGTTTCGACTGAATATGGATAGAGTAGACAGTGTAAAGTTGCTTTATTCACCTCACTGGAGGTCTGAAAGTAAGTGTTGACACAACGATCGACAAATACCTGTGAGAAAGTTTACTCAGGACTCTTTAATTAGCCTTAAGCTTTACACAACACAAATATAGCTTCAATTAATTATATGAAACCTAGCCCTGATTGTAATAAAATTCTTGGCTATGTAAACTTGCTATAAAATACATTACTATATAAGCTAATACTACAATATGACAATATATGACTATATAAACTGGAGGCATTCATAACATTCACAATTAATACAATCTGCTGGATAATTAGGCTGGGTTGACAGACTAAGTCTCTCTTCACATTCGAAATGTTAACAAATATGGTGTATGGGTGAGGTGCAACTCTCTTGTATATAAGCTATCTTGGGCTAATTTCATTTTTTCACATTCAGACCACGTAGATCAGACCAGTAAATCTTCTGTCATGTCATATATATACGTATATGCAAAAGATTACTGCTAACATTACTGAAGAAAAGGCACAGGAGCAGAACGTGGTTTCAGTGAGACAACGTTTCTCTCTGTGTAGTGCTTTTACACAAAGCTTTAGAGTACAAAGCTCTAGAGTACAAAGATCTAGAGCACAAAGCTCTAGAGTACAAAGATCTAAAGTACAAAGCTCTAGAGTACAAAACTGTAAAGTACAAAGCTTTAGAGTACAAAACTCTAGAGTTTAAAGCTCTAGAGTACAAAGCTCTAAGAGCAAATCCCTGCTCTGTACCCTTTTCTTCTTTTTTTATTTAGTAAAATTCGTTGCCTACAGTGAACTCACACCTGTTCCAAGCACCACTTTATTATTTTTGCATTTACATTATTCTTGCCTCAAGATAATAAAACAAATTTCAATAATAATACACGAATAACCCTCACATAGGAAACTAAAACTCAAGATTTATTACTTAATAAATTTTAGTATGGTAGGTGCGAGTCACAGATGTATTGTTCCATTCACTATACTGTATTTCGATTCTTTAATGACAATGTTGTTTTTTTTCTTCACCAGCTGTATCTGTCAGGCCCAGCCAATGCTTTTGCAGCAGATGTCAGGTTCAACGAAGAAGGAACTCGTATTATAGCGTCTAGGTTCATCATTCAGTCTTACAATGTTACCGATGGGAATGCAGACAAAGATATGATGCAGGAGTTCCGCAAGGTGGCTCTTGATTCGAAGTTCAACGTCACAGTGTTCAATCCATATTTTATCTTTTTTGATCAGGTTTGTGCAGATGATTATGTTTGTTTATTTCCGTTGAAGTGAAAGTGAATTGTCTCTCTCAAGTATAATTCGTAAATAAAGACATAGACGGGATCCACCTTCAGAAACATGTATGGGGACCCATTGCTTTGGAGAAATAAGCAAAAGCTCTTCAAGGGAAGATATATATATCTTTTCTTGAGTCTGTATGAATATTCTACTTCTCATATCACCCCTTGTTTTATATGTAAGTACATATACTTTATGTAAAATAGTATACAATCATAAATAACATATTTTTCTTTTCTTTACAGTTTACTATGGTGAGGATAACAAGTGTAGAAGCCATTTGTGTTTCCGCAGTTATAATGATGTTTGTGTCACTGATATTCATACCAAACCCTCTGTGTTCTCTTTGGGTTGTGTTCTCCATCACCTCTGTTGAAATAGGTGTCGTCGGTTACATGGCTTTCTGGAATGTTAGTCTCGATTCCATTTCAATGATCAACTTAATCATGTGTATAGGGTTTAGTGTCGACTTCTCAGCTCACATATCACATGCTTATTTGGTATCAGAAGGTGAAACTCCGGACGAGCGTGTGAAGGACTGCCTGTACACTCTTGGCTTGCCTATACTACAAGGTGGGTGCTCAACAATTTTAGGTGTTACGGCTCTAGTTTTGGCTCCCTCTTACATATTTGTCACATTCTTCAAGACCGTCTTTCTAGTCATATTTCTAGGGGTATTACATGGGATCATACTTTTGCCAGTTCTCCTCTCTCTCATGGGTCCTGGTTCATGTAGTAAAAAGAAGGTGGAGGACACTCCTCCTACTATGGAAAATGCTCAACCATTCTACGTGTATGGCACCGAAAAGTCTCTCTGGGTGGATCCTAACAACATGAAGATACCACGTCCACGCAGTGTAACTACAGTACAAAATGGAACTACCCAAGTGACACCTTTGGCACTGAGTCGTAATGGAGCCTCACCTGCTGGACCTAATGCAGTTAAAGGCAAACATACTAGTTTTCTAGAAAAAGACTTAGGTCTTGGTACTTCAAGTGAAATATCAAGCGAATCAAGCCTGAGTAAGGAAGTTATACACCGGCGTTATGGTTCAGATAAAGTTAATGACAGTGGAGCTCGCTCAGGTCCTCATGTCTTGAAAGGTTATAGTAATAATGCTTATGAAAGTGATAACAAGATCAATGAAAAACGTCGAATTCAAAAAGATTCTAATACGGGTTCAGCGCTTCACATAAAGTATAACAATAATGACAGATACGACGACTGGGATTATCCTCGTCGGAATTATCATGGCTCTCGTTCACCTCCTAATTATTCGTCTCCTCTGCGGTTCAGTGCTCCTCTCGTGCTTACTGGGGGTCAGTCCCGTCACCCGGGCTCTCGAGACAAGAGTGTACACCGAAGTTTGTCATTAGTAGCACAACATGGATCAAAAACATCGTCAAAATCCAGTAGAGGATACCGTGAGCGCAGCTAGCGACATCACACATACATGACCATGTGCCATAACCCAAATGAATACAGATTAGTGTGATTCTCTTTGCTCATCACAGGATTAAGGTATATTAGTGTGAGTTTTTCTGTAAATCAAAAAAAATACATACTGTGGTGATTCACGTGATTGCAATAAATAAGTTACTTTTACCCATAAATGTTTTTAACAAAACAATGAGCAATAATCCAGGATCGCAAGGAAGCATGTTATTCAATACCTTACGGGCATTAAGAGTTACTTAACCGGTAATGAATGTGTCTAAGTTAGTCATGGGACGTCAAAGGCGCTGGGAAACTATTAGACATATAAGAAATAGAACGCAGATTTTTTGCTTGAAAGCTAGGTGGAGATAATGATGTAAAGAATCTCAGGGTTAAAAGAAACTAAAAAGGTCACAAACGGCATCGCACATGGGTCGGTACTTGCCCTGATGATATTACTGATTTATCAAAATGCCTTGTCAGAAGGAATTGAAATATACATGAACATGTATGTTTGTGGATTACAGGAATTCTTGGAGAAATTGAATAGACTGATAATAGAGTTTAATGTAGAAAAGTGGCATTTACTGGAAATGGGAATAAGCTATAGAAGGTCACGTAAAAAAAAATATATATATAGTGATGAAATACTGAAAGGTTTGAGAGAAGGAGCTACAAGTAACTGTAGACAAAAGACACTTAATATTCCCTTGTGAACACTAAACCCTTATGATCCATATTGTCGAGAGAAGATCACGTAAATTAAATCTTAAGAAACAAGTATTGCATCCAGCCAGTGCCAAAATACTCTTAACATGGAGAGGGAAATGCTACAAAGAGCTCATCACGTTCATTAAGCAATATTAGAAAAAATGTAGCCGTGGTGTAGTGACAGCAAATTAAAAACAAAGTGATGATACAGAAAATGTCGACAGACATGGTTATGGACGGGGCTCCGGGGGTGTTGAGCCCTGAAACACCCTCCGGGGGCGTTGAGCCCTGAAACGCACTCCAGGTAAACAAACTATACATAAGTTACCACGGAAATATGACAGCACTAGCAATCACCAAGTTAGATGACAGAAGGAAAATATGGAAGCCTGGTAATCACATATAAGGTCACAAAATAATGATAAAACAGAGATAACTTTAATGTACCAGAGCATAATAGATAAGATAGAAAAAAAAAGTTTTTGTCCGATAGACTGGACACTAGAAAGCTTCAGGTGAGCAAAGCTCTAATTAAACCCAAGCTTCGTCTAGCTGTATTTTGTAAACTGTATCAGTTACTGTATATTTGGAAGCTTACTTGCATTACTGTGATATCAAAATGCTGATTTATGGGTAAATCTGTGAGTAAGTCAAAACTGGAAGAGTTCTAATGTGTGTGTGTGTATGTACTCACCTAATTGTACTCACCTAATTGTGGTTGCAGGGGTCGAGACTCAACTCCTGGCCCCGCCTCTTCACTGAGTGCTACTAGGTCCTCTTCCTGCTCCATGAGCTTTATCATACCTCATCTTAAAGCTATGTATGGTTCCTGCCTCCCCTACCTCACTTGCTAAGCTATTCCACTTCCTGACTACTCTATGACTCTGTGTGTGAGTGCGTGTGTGTATGTGTGTGTGTGTGTGTGTGTGTGTGTGTGTGTGTGTGTGTGTGTGTGTGTGTGTGTATGTGTGTGTGTATTTTTGTGAATTGTTTCAACCACGATATTGTTACTTTATTCTATCTGTCCTCCCTAATCTATATGCTATTTTGCAAAGCCAGATGGCGGGTTAACAATGTTTATCACATAAGGAAAAATATTGCATAAGTATAAAACTTATGGAACAACTGCAACAATAATCAAAAGACTGTTGCTATAATATTTATTTAATAATAGCGTCGCCAAATATAATTACCCCGAAAGCACGTTCTAAGTGGAATTTTATGCTACAATAAACCGTATAAAGACCTGTAAGGTCGTTATACGGTTTATCATAAGGGTCATACAACACCTGGGGAATGTGAGGTAGGAGAGGATAAGATAAGATAAGATTTTGTTCGGATTTTTAACCCCGGAGGGTTAGCCACCCAGGATAACCCAAGAAAGTCAGTGCGTCATCGAGGACTGTCTAACTTATTTCCATTGGGGTCCTTAATCTTGTCCCCCAGGATGCGACCCACACCAGTCGACTAACACCCAGGTACCTATTTGCTGCTAGGTGAACAGGACAACAGGTGTAAGGAAACGTGTCAAATGTTTCCACCCGTCGGGAATCGAACCCGGGCCCTCCGTGTGTGAAGCGGGAGCTTTAGCCACCAGGCCACCGGGCCACCCTAGAGAGGGCAACTCCAAATCCTTGGATAAAGAGCCCCTCACCAGCATCAAGGTGCTCCACTGAGGGCGTGGCAACATATATGAATCCAGTGTTATTATCTGTATGATTAATATAATAAAAGTTATGAAGCATTTGTTTTTTAATTTATTTTGTGTTTATTATTTTCCAATCTCAAAAACCGGGTTGTATATAAGCAGTGGTTCTCAACGTTGACGAGTCAGAGGAACCTTAAGCAGTCGTCTCTAGTCTCAAGATTCGTGGATCCACCCGAGCTAAACGTTGTATTTTTATGATCTAATTATAATTAATTAATTAAAATAATCTTGCACAGACTGCAGGAACAATACTTGTTGTGCTGACTACACGAACAATACTTGTTGTGCTGACTACAGGAACAATACTTGCTGTGCTGATTACAGGAACAATACTTGCTGTGCTGACTACAGGAACAATACTTGCTGTGCTGATTACAGGAACAATACTTGTTGTGCTGACTACAGGAACAATACTTGCTGTGCTGACTACAGGAACAATACTTGTTGTGCTGACTACAGGAACAATACTTGCTGTGCTGACTACAGGAACAATACTTGCTGTGCTGACTACAGGAACAATACTTGTTGTGCTGACTACAGGAACAATACTTGCTGTGCTGATTACAGGAACAATACTTGCTGTGCTGATTACAGTAACAATACTTGCTGTGCTGACTACAGGAACAATACTTGTTGTGCTGACTACACGAACAATACTTGTTGTGCTGATTACAGGAACAATACTTGCTGTGCTGATTACAGGAACAATACTTGTTGTGCTGACTACAGGAACAATACTTGCTGTGCTGACTACAGGAACAATACTTGTTGTGCTGACTACAGGAACAATACTTGTTGTGCTGACTACAGGAACAATACTTGCTGTGCTGACTACAGGAACAATACTTGCTGTGCTGACTGAAGGAACAATACTTGTTGTGCTGACTACAGGAACAATACTTGCTGTGTTGACTACAGGAACAATACTTGTGCTGACTACAGGAACAATACTTGTTGTGCTGACTACAGGAACAATACTTGTTGTGCTGACTACAGGAACAATACTTGTTGTGCTGATTACAGGAACAATACTTGCTGTGCTGACTACAGGAACAATACTTGCTGTGCTGACTACAGTAACAATACTTGCTGTGCTGACTACAGGAACAATACTTGTTGTGCTGATTACAGTAACAATACTTGCTGTGCTGACTACAGGAACAATACTTGTTGTGCTGACTACAGGAACAATACTTGATGTGCTGACTACAGGAACAATACTTGTTGTGCTGACTACAGGAACAATACTTGTTGTGCTGATTACAGGAACAATACTTGCTGTGCTGATTACAGTAACAATACTTGCTGTGCTGACTACAGGAACAATACTTGTTGTGCTGACTACAGGAACAATACTTGCTGTGCTGACTACAGGAACAATACTTGTTGTGCTGACTACAGGAACAATACTTGCTGTGCTGACTACAGGAACAATACTTGCTGTGCTGACTGAAGGAACAATACTTGTTGTGCTGACTACAGGAACAATACTTGCTGTGTTGACTACAGGAACAATACTTGTTGTGCTGACTACAGGAACAATACTTGTTGTGCTGACTATAGGAACAATACTTGTTGTGCTGACTACAGGAACAATACTTGTTGTGCTGATTACAGGAACAATACTTGCTGTGCTGACTACAGGAACAATACTTGCTGTGCTGACTACAGGAACAATACTTGCTGTGCTGACTACAGGAACAATACTTGTTGTGCTGATTACAGGAACAATACTTGCTGTGCTGACTACAGGAACAATACTTGCTGTGCTGACTACAGGAACAATACTTGCTGTGCTGACTACAGGAACAATACTTGTTGTGCTGATTACAGGAACAATACTTGCTGTGCTGATTACAGTAACAATACTTGCTGTGCTGACTACAGGAACAATACTTGTTGTGCTGACTACATGAACAATACTTGCTGTGCTGACTACAGGAACAATACTTGTTGTGCTGATTACAGGAACAATACTTGCTGTGCTGACTACAGGAACAACACTTGCTGTGCTGACTACAGGAACAATACTTGCTGTGCTGACTGAAGGAACAATACTTGTTATGCTGACTACAGGAACAATACTTGTTGTGCTGACTACAGGAACAATACTTGCTGTGCTGACTACAGGAACAATACTTGTTGTGCTGATTACAGGAACAATACTTGCTGTGCTGACTACAGGAACAATACTTGCTGTGCTGACTACAGGAACAACACTTGCTGTGCTGACTACAGGAACAATACTTGCTGTGCTGACTAAAGGAACAACACTTGCTGTGCTGACTACAGGAACAATACTTGCTATGCTGACTACAGGAACAACACTTGCTGTGCTGACTACAGGAACAATACTTGCTATGCTGACTACAGGAACAATACTTGCTGTGCTGACTACAGGAACAATACTTGCTGTGCTGACTGAAGGAACAATACTTGTTGTGCTGACTACAGGAACAACACTTGCTGTGTTGACTACAGGAACAATACTTGCTGTGTTGACTACAGGAACAATACTTGCTGTGCTGACTGAAGGAACAATACTTGCTGTGTTGACTACAGGAACAATACTTGCTGTGCTGACTACAGGAACAATACTTGCTGTGCTGACTACAGGAACAATACTTGCTGTGCTGACTACAGGAACAACACTTGCTGTGTTGACTACAGGAACAACACTTGCTGTGCTGACAGAAGGAACAATACTTGCTGTGTTGACTACAGGAACAATACTTGCTGTGCTGACTGAAGGAACAATACTTGCTGTGTTGACTACAGGAACAATACTTGCTGTGTTGACTACAGGAACAATACTTGCTATGCTGACTACAGGAACAATACTTGCTGTGCTGACTGCAGGAACAATACTTGCTGTGCTGACTACAGGAACAACACTTGCCGTGCTGACTGCAGGAACAATACTTGTTGTGCTGATTACAGGAACAATACTTGCTATGCTGAGTACAGGAACAATACTTGCTGTGCTGACTACAGGAACAACACTTGCTGTGCTGACTACAGGAACAATACTTGCTATGCTGACTGCAGGAACAATACTTACTATGCTGACTGCAGGAACAATACTTGCTATGCTGACTGAAGAAACAATACTTGCTGTGCTGACTACAGGAACAATACTTGCTATGCTGACTACAGGAACAATACTTGCTGTGATGACTGAAGGAACAATACTTGCTATGCTGACTGCAGGAACAATACTTACTATGCTGACTGCAGGAACAATACTTGCTATGCTGACTACAGGAACAATACTTGCTGTGCTGACTGAAGGAGCAATACTTGCTATGCTGACTGCAGGAACAATACTTACTATGCTGACTGCAGGAACAATACTTGCTATGCTGACTACAGGAACAATACTTGCTGTGCTGACTGAAGGAGCAATACTTGCTGTGCTGACTGAAGGAACAATACTTGCTGTGATGACTACAGGAACAATGCTTGCTATGCTGACTGAAGGAACAATACTTGCTGTGCTGACTGAAGGAGCAATACATGCTGTGCTGACTGCAGGACCAATACTTGCTATGCTGACTGCAGGAACAACACTTGCTGTGCTGACTACAGGAACAATACTTGCTATGCTGACTGAAGGAACAATACTTGCTGTGCTGACTGAAGGAACAATACATTCTGTGCTGATTACAGGAACAATACTTGCTGTGCTGACTGAAGGAGCAATACTTGCTGTGCTGACTGAAGGAACAATACTTGCTGTGTTGACTACAGGAACAATACTTGCTGTGCTGACTACAGGAACAATACTTGCTGTGCTGACTACAGGAACAATACTTGCTGTGCTGACTACAGGAACAATGCTTGCTGTGTTGACTACAGGAACAATACTTGCTGTGCTGACTACAGGAACAATACTTGCTGTGCTGACTACAGGAACAATACTTGCTGTGCTGACTACAGGAACAATACTTGCTGTGTTGACTACAGGAACAATACTTGCTGTGCTGACTGAAGGAACAATACTTGCTGTGCTGACTGAAGGAACAATACTTGCTATGCTGACTGAAGGAAAAATACTTGCTGTGCTGACTGCAGGAACAATACTTGCTATGCTGACTCCAGGAACAATACCTGCTGTGCTGACTGAAGGAACAATACTTGCTATGCTGTCTACAGGAACAATACTTGCTGTGCTGACTGCAGGAACATTACTTGCTATGCTGACTACAGGAACAATACTTGCTGTGATGACTGAAGGAACAATACTTGCTATGCTGACTGAAGGAACAATACTTCCTGTGCTGACTGCAGGAACAATACTTGCTATGCTGACTGCAGGAACAATACTTGCTATGCTGACTGAGGGAACAATACTTGCTGTGCTGACTACAGGAGCAATACTTGCTGTGCTGACTGAAGGAACAATACTTGCTGTGCTGACTGCAGGAACAATACTTACTGTGCTGAATGCAGGAACAATACTTGCTATGCTGACTGAAGGAACAATACTTGCTGTGCTGAATACAGGAACAATACTTGCTGTGCTGACTACAGGAACAATACTTGCTATGCTGACTACAGGAACAATACTTGCTGTGTTGACTACAGGAACAATACTTGCTATGCTGACTACAGGAACAATACTTGCTGTGCTGACCACAGGAACAATACTTGCTGTGCTGACTAAAGGAACAATACTTGCTGTGCTGACTACAGGAACAATACTTGCTGTGCTGACTACAGGAACAATACTTGCTGTGTTGACTGAAGGAACAATACTTGCTGTGCTGACTGCAGGAACAATACTTGCTGTGCTGACTACAGGAACAATACTTGCTGTGCTGACTACAGGAACAATACTTGCTGTGTTGACTACAGGAACAATACTTGCTGTGCTGACTGCAGGAACAATACTTGCTGTGCTGACTGCAGGAACAATACTTTCTGTGTTGACTGAAGGAACAATACTTGCTGTGTTGACTGAAGGAAGAATACTTGCTGTGCTGACTGCAGGAACAATACTTGCT